TCCTAAAGTAGGAAATGGGACAAGGGGCACTTCTGGTCTTCCCTGTGCATGAGTTTAGGCAGGCCACCTTCTCCAAACACATCCTGGTTAGCTGTGGCAAGAGTGAGGGGACTTGGCCTACATGGTCATCACATGGGGGCTTGTGAACCCTTTCATGACCGAACTACTTTCTGTTCTGGGTTTTTTTGTTGATACCATGCTGAAACCATGAATGGGTTTTGATACAATTACATGTGATACAGGTCCCAAGTAGTAGTATGGGTAACTGGGATAGCAGCTTCCTAACAAACCTTAGAGGCTGAAAATGTTTCATTACCTCTTAATTCCATTTCTCCATGAATTCTTGAAAGCCCCAAGAGAGGGTTAAGGAGGGAATGCTAGGCCCCACCCCCGGTTCCTGTAGGTCTGGAGGGGCCCCCTAGAACATGCATTTCTAAAGCATTCCCAGGTGGTGCAATGCTGCTGACTTTTCATCACTGACCCACAGGATGCCCCTCCCAGATTCAGCCCCAGCGGTCCTGGGTCCTGGATCCAAAGTGAGAGGATACTGTTGACCTTGTAAGATAGAGAAGGCTCTCAAAAGATCTTCACCCCTTTCCCTGGGCAAAGGCCCAGCAATCTGGGCCATAGAAAACCATCTGAGCCCCTCTACCCACCCCAGCACACCTGGGACTCCAGGGTCAGCTCTCCCTTTCACAAGCTTTGAGAATTTTTAAGTCCCTCTATATGCTCAGCACTATACACCTGTGCCCTCATTTACAACCTCCCTTATGACTGTCATGTAAGGAGACAACCCTAATAGAAGAAATATTAAAGTCTAGGCTTTTAACCTCCATGCGACTCTGCCTTAAAGCGAAAACACAGCTTCTTCTCAAGAAGCAGTGAGCACCCCAATGCCTTCTGACCCATGTCTCTCCTCAGTTACCCCAAAGGCGTTGAGATTTATAGACAGAGTTTAGGCAATTAGGATGATGAAATGAAGGAGGGAAGGAAAATATTCTCAGAAAGAAAAATCAGCAGTGTCAGGTTGGTTATAAATAATCACCTTCTAAGAAGCAAGGTTTCTCTGCTATGCATAGAGTTTTCA